TTGTATGTGACTTCATGGGAGGAAGTTCATTCAAACCTTGTTAATTTAGTTACAAAAGAATTTTAAAAAATCAATACAGAAATGATGTAAAGAAACTTCAACACATTCCACTTGAAATTATCAGTGCTTTGAACTTGGGACTATTGAAAAATGAAATCAACCTCCTAGCAAGAAGCAAATCTTCAGTTCATAATATTGAGCAATAGGAACTATCCTATATAATAAAGAGGTAATATGAAAATTGATCCTCACGCCTTCACAAGATGGCTGCATATGACCAGGCTGACAGGAGGTTTAATGAGGGATGACCAAACATCTGAACAGCAGACTTCGTGGGGCAACCAGGCAGTTGGGGGTGACCATGCCAGTAGGGGGACAGTTGGGGGCAACTAGGCCAGCAGAGGGAGGTAGTTGAGGTGATCAGGCTGGCAGGGGGGAAAGTTAGGGGAGATTAGGTGGGCAGGAGGGGAAGTGAGGGGTGACTAGGCAGCGGGCGAAGAGGGGAGGGGCCCATTAGGAGTGACCAGGTCAGCAGGGAGGGGGCAGTTGAGAGGTGACATGGCTGGCAGCGGGGGGCAGTTAGGGGCAATCAGGCCAGCAGGGGGGGCAGGTAAGGGCGATCATGCTGGCATGCAGAGACAGTAGTGAGGGGTGAGGGCGATTAGACTGGCGGGGGTGGGGTGGGGGGGAGGGAAGCTAGGGTGACCAGGCAGGCAGGCAGGTGAGCAATTAGGAGCCAGTGGTCCATGACTGTGAGAGGGATGTCTGGCTGCCGGTTTAGGCTCAATCCCTGGGCCTAAACCGGCAGTTGGACATCCTCCAAGGGGTCCCAGATTGCAGAGGGTGCAAACTGGCCTGAAGGGGGGATTACCCCCCCCCCCCCCCCGCCCGCATGAATTTCATGCACTGAGCCTCTAGTATAATTTCTATTGCTCAATAATTATATACTAAGGAAGTGCGCTGAGACTTAATCCATCTAGGTCAGAGCTGAAAAATGCATATATCCATCCAATACTTTTGTGTACCGGTTAACTGCTCTTACTTGGCTTCCTGGTGAGATAGTAATGAATTTTTACATTTCTCTTGTTCTTTTAAAGATTATGCTGTGCTTGGCTACTGCATAACCTTTACAAGAACAAGAGAAATGTCCTTCAGAAACTCCATAAATGTGTGATGACAAATAGGGAATGTGTTCACCAATGGAAAATTGCAGCTTAATCATACAGTGGGTACCAAGGTGGTAGTGACATAGGTGCAATGGTTGTGGCCACAAGGCAGGAGGTCCACAGTGGTCAGTTGCAGGGTGGAGATAGTGCAGATGATTTTGTGCATTTGGGATTCTCAAAATAAATCCACTTTTTGTTGCCAGTCACAATTCGATGCAAAAAGACTTATGGTACTTTCATGCCATTGAAGCAACACTTTACCGATGACTTTTTGGTTTTCCATTTGTCTTTCATTCAGTTGATGTGGCACCCATTTTCCTTCCTTTAAAATTTTTCCTATTGCTTGTAAAGGATCAGAAATTGTTTACTGATCAACATTTAATCTTTCTGCAAGTTGTTTTTGAGTTTGACATGCATCTTTATCCAATAATGCTTGTAATTATTGGTCTTCAAACTCTTTTGGTTGACCTGGACGTTCTTTGTCTTTCACATAGAAATCATCACTTTTAAAGCATTTAAATCAGCTTTCACAAGTATCTTGAGATAGAGCATGTTCACCATAAGCTTCCTGAAGTATATGATAACTTTCAGCAGCACTTTTCTTTAAAATAAAGTAATGAATTAAAACTTCTTCAAATGCTCTTTTTTTTGGGCACAAAATTCGACATTTTTAAGCATAAAAAATATCTATAATGGTATAACCTTCAGAAAATTTGACATATGAAGTTTTGAAGCTTGCTGTCAATATAACAAAATAGCATACATATCAAATCGCATATATATCAACATATGTGTAACTGCATCTATTGAAAAAAATCCTCATTATTAACCGATTATACACACACACACACACACACACACACACACACACACCGGTTAATAATGCGGACTTTTTTCATATATACGTGTTTTCTTATATATACGCTTATCTTCACATTCTTTTCTTTTACTGCAATGCATGATTTAAAAAAAAATGTAAAAACTACCTATGTAAATAACCACTATGTATTGTTTGTATTCAAACTCACTTTGAACTTCATATAACTTCAGTGCTCACTTTTTCTTTTGGTTTTGTGTTGAGAGAAGGCCATATTACCATATGCTTTGTTTTGCGATGTAGCTTTTGCAGGGGCTTGAATAAAGTGGGAAAATTGAGTCATCACACCTGATAGTATAAGATTTCCAGTCTGTAAGAATTACATATTATTGTATTGATTCAATATATCTGAACGATTTTGTCTTAATTTTAATAAGATACGACTACCTATTATGTATAGGTGTGTAGTAGTATGTTTTCAGTGTAGATTGTCTAGGTCTTAATTCCAGCAGTGATTTTATACCCACTCAGTGAAAAGTTAAATAACCTGATATGCAAGTGAAAAAGACATTATGGAGTCAGGATAGATCTCATGATAAGTGGTGTTCAAAAAATATTTATTGGCTGAGATGTAGTTAAATATAAGAGCTGGTGTTCTTGAAAAGTAAACAGTCTGGAAGTTATGAATTGCATTTTGTACAACATGTTTTTTGTGAACAGACTTCTCATGTCATCAAATTATATTGTAGTGTGGATGTCAAAATATAGAAAAATATGAACTGTAAAACCAGGCCTGATGTTATCTCTTTCTCCTGTTAAATATAACAGTAGTCATTTAATTTTAGCAAAAGCACATCATCCTTCAAGTGGAATTAATGTTTTTAAAGTAGTATTAGTTTGGTAGTTTTATTAGTTTAATTTATAATTTTATCTTTATTTATAATTTTATAAGAACTTTAAACCTAAGGAGTTTACTTTCATGTATATATGTAAGTATCATTATACAAACAATTGAACACTTGGACCAAGTGAGAATTTTTTTCTTCTTTGAAAACAGTTCTGAATTGAACATTTTAGAAACTCTGAACAGAGTCTGTGGTTAGACTTCTAAATCTTTGAAATCCAGTCAGTTTCCTGTCCAGTTGTTCATTTACTATCCATAAACATAATGATTTTTAAATGATGTATTGATTATGTTAACATAGGGTTATTGTGCTTATACTGAGACTCAAAAGCATCTGTAGGAAAATCTGAAACTAATATAATGTTATATATCACCTGTAATTGAAAATTAGATTTAAAAATTTTAGGAAAAATATTGATTGAATTTATAATTTGAAGCTTAAAGTATTACTTCTTTATGATATTGACATTGAGTAAATATTGAATCTTAAACCAAAAACATGGCCTAAAGGAATACTTTTTATTTTCAGACTGAAATTGGGAAGTCAGTTTAGTTTTGTTTAATAGTGGCTTTTAACAAAAATATATGATTATTGATAATTTAATATAAGCTAATCATCTGAAATTATTAAAAAGATAAGATATATTTTCTATTTTAAGGGAATAATTTTCATCATTTTGTGAATATGAATCTGTAACAGCTGAAGATCTGATCTTTGAATGTGGTGGAGTTGGAACCTTTTCAAAATACAAACATAGCCAATTTTCAAGAAAAATCACAATGATTCAGTTTTGAACTTTAATGTATTTGGAACATATGCAGCAGAACATTTTCTTCTTGTTATCTCCTGCCAAACTAGTTGCATATGCCAAATTAATCTTTCCTTTATGTTTGGAAAGCTCAAGTACAGGGTAGAATTAATAATTGCCTCATTCATGTCCAGCAGTTTTAATGGCAAGATAAAGGTAAGTATTTAAGAGAAATTTTGTAATTTTCTCTTAATGCAAAAATGAAAATATTTCATTCACTCAATGAATATTAATTGAATACATACTATATACCAGGCTATGTTACTGATTGTTACAATCGTGAGCCAGGGTAAATAAAGCCCTGCCCTCAGAGAGTTTGTAAATTAATGGGGATGGTGGTGGAAGATGATAGGGATTTCAGATTCATAAATCACCTGTATTTATAAAATACATAATGAGAATAGAGTATCTAAGCTGAGATTGAAATTATATGAAGATTTGGGAGGAGAGAAGTCTAAATTTGGTCAGTAGCTCCTGAAATGGGAAAGGCTTGGCATATTCATAGGACAGAAAGGTCAGTTTAGATGGACGGAACAGGGTGAACGGTAGCGACCAAACAAAGCCAGAGAGATAAGAGACCACATTAATTGAGCGTTTTAGACCATGCAAGGAGTTTTGATTTTCCTCTAATTATAGTGGCAAGTTTTTGGAGAGTTTTAAGTAAGGAAGTTTAATGATTTGACTTATTTAAGGAAGATCACCCTGGTGGCTATAAGGAGAATGGACCGTAAAAAGGTGAGAATGGAAGCAGGAAACTAGATGGGGAGCTATTATAGTGCTGTCCAATCAAGAGATGATGGTGGGTGGTATTGGGGAGATGGAGCCAGTGAAGAGTGATTGGGTTGGAGATGTATTTCTATGATACACTGATTGCACTTGCTTCTGGATTGCATGTTTTCATACTTAAGCATTTGTGCTTCTGACATTCAAATTCTTTGGGATATCATAGTTTAACATGAACTGTGTAAGTCCTGAGAATGTCACATATTACTAATTTATTTTTAAATACTTGGGAAGATCAGTGTGGTTCCTACAGCTTCCTCTTGCTATTTGGCAAAAAGTTTAAATTAGTAACTTCAAGTTCTGCAGATAAATTAATGCCAGATTGCTCTAATTTCTATACTTTAAAACATATGCTATATAAGGATTTGAAAAAATAATTATTTTAAATATGTAAACAATAATGATTTCAAATTATTTTTAATGAAGGAAAGAATGAAAACAATTCCACCTGACATAAAGAAAATGTGTCTGTTTTTAACTTTTTGGTTTTATTTAAATGTTTTCTGAAATTTTTTTTCTAGCCACATTGTTCTGATGCTTGCAGATGATATGGCCTGCAACCCTAGGAATCCCAAGCCAGCTACAGTATTTAGTCACAAGAATATGGAACTAAATGTCTATGGAGATGATGTGGAAGTAGATTATAGAAGTTATGAGGTAAATTTTTAATCTGGCAACAGTTTTGAAATGTATTTATTGTTATTCTTAAGCTCTAAAATAGTGGTAGAATAAAATAGTATTACTCTTTGTCTTCAAACTATGTACATAATAGTTATTGAAGCCTTGATATAATTCCGTCTTTGGAATTCATATTAAGGAAACAATATATAAGTAAAACTACCATAACATGAATATTTTAAATATGTATTTAGGATAAAATAATTTTATCTTTGTTTTCATGAGAGTACTAGAAGCCTGGTGCATGAAATTCCTGCACTGTGTGGGCAGGGGGTGTCCCTCAGCCTGGCCTGTGCCCTCTTGCAGTCCTGGAGCCAGGGGAGCGGGCCTAAACTGGAGTCAGACATCCTTAGCACTGCGTGAAGGTGGGAGAGGCTCCTGCCACCACTGCTGCACTTGCTAGCCATAAGCGCGGTTTCTGGCTGAGTGACGCTCCCCCTGTGGGAGTGCACTGATCACCGGGGTGTAGCTCCTGCATTGAGCATCTGCCTCCTGGTGGTCAGTTTATGTCCTAGTGACTGGTTGTTCCGCTGTTCAGTAGATTTGCATATTAGCCTTTTATTATATAGGATTTTAGTGAGGTTTCATATATTAACTTTCCTTTATAGTAAATGCTTTATTTGTTTTTCATATTTGATAAAAAATTTTAAGTTTTATAATTTTAGTACATATATTTATTAATTGTGGAAAAATTAAAATGACTAACAAAAACTCACCCATATTTCCACTACTTAGAAGTAACCACTTTTAATATGCTTCTAGTGTTTTTATGCATGTATGATTAAAAATAAAAATGTAAACTTGAATAGTGGCACTATATTATATTTTCTCCCTTGAGGCATTATTTTAAATTGAATAGATTGTAGCCCAGCCGACTTGACTCAGTGGTTGAGCATTGACCAATGAACCAGGAGGTCACAGTTCTATTCCCCATCAGGACACATGCCCAGGTTGTGGGCTAAATCCCCAGTGTGGGGCCTACCAGAGGCAGCCAGTCAACGATTCTCTCTCATCTTTGATGTTTCTATCTCTCCCTCTGTCTTCCCCTCTGAAATTAATAATGATAAAAAAGATTGTGAATTTGTTTAAAATTTGAAGTGTTCTTTGATAAAGACTTCTTTTACCAAGTCTATCAAAAGTAAGACACAATGTACTGTGTTCCCAGAATTGTTTTGAAGCAATTTTAAAAGCATATATATGTCCTCCAAGGCTGTAAATTCCTTGAGCAGTGGTCGGCAAACTCATTAATCAGCAGAGCCAAATATCAACAGTACGACGATTGAAATTTCTTTCAAGAGGCAAATTTTTTAAACTTAAAGTTCTTCTAATGCCACTTCTTCAAAATAGACTCACCCAGGCTGTGGTATTTTGTGGAATAGCCACCCTCAAGGGGCCAAAGAGCCGCATGTAGCTCGCGAGCTGCGGTTTGCCAACCACTGTCCTTGAGGACATGGCTTATATGTTACGTATCTTATATCTAGCAAGTACCCTGTTTCCCGAAAATAAGACAGTGTCTTATATTAATTTTTGCTCCCAAAGATGTGCGAGGTCTTATTTTCAGGGGATGTCTTATTTTTTTCATGAAGAAGAATACAGTACACATTTATTGTTAAATGAAAATAAAGGAAATTTATTATCTGTATAAGGTACGGTAGTATGGTAGTTGTCAACACAAACCAGACAAATTGTGAATCCTACAGTATCAAGAATTTACTCGTTTATTCAATGATAATCATGTCATCATCTTCTGGAACATCATCATAACAATGCAATTCCTGAATTCCTAGAGAATTTCTTGTGACTCCATTTCTTTCAGAATCAGTGGACCAAATCTCTCATGTTTAGCCTAGGGGGGCCTTATTTTTGGGGGATGCCTTATATTTCACTCAGAAGGAAACCTGTAAGTAGGTCTTATTTTTGGAGGATGTCTTATTTTCGGGGAAACACGGGACCTTTAGCCCTTTAAAGACTTTAAAGAATATTTGTTAAATGATTAAATGGATATAAATGTTGGACTTTCTATTTGTTTATTTAGTCATTATAAAATGTAGACCAGAATTGGTCCTTCCTTTTTAGCCAATAAGACATCCTATTAAAACACTTAACATTTTGCTGTCTTCTGGGATAAATTTAAACCAGAGCTTATACACACACACACACACACACACACACACACACCACGATCTAGAGAAAAGTCAAAAAAGCTAGAAAGATTTTCTGCTTTTTAAATTTAGATCTGAATAATATAATTTTAAATTAGCATTACATTTTCCATGACATTAAATATGCTTTCAAAGAATCCCAGAGGTGCAGAAATTCCAGGTTGGGAAATCTGGTTTAAAGTGGCATGAATTTTTTACATGTTAAAGATATTCTTCATGAAATTTAAGTAACAAAATGCACTAAAAAAATCAAAGATACACAACTTGGGGATTATTCATGAACCGATCCATATGGTTTTATTTTTATGATTTATGGACTTTTCTTTCATGGTCGAACTAGAAATGACGAAGCAGTTGCCCAGATTAACTGCAATAGTTATAACTGAATTTATTTACAAGTTTCTCTCTCTCTATTTTTTTACCTTCCTAAAGAATTGCCTGTGAAGCCAAATTTATAAAATTCTTGGTAATACTTTGGATAACTTTAAAGTTTTAAATTTAGAATTAATTTTTCCCCCCTCCAAGTAGTTTTTTTTTTTTTAAATGGAGGCAGTTATTCTGAGTTGTATCCTATCTAATAAAAGAGTAATATGCAAATTGACCGAACCCCACTACACCCACAAGCCTCGCCCACAAGCCATACCCACCGGCCAATCAGGAGTTATTATGCAAATAAACCCAACCAAGATGGCTGCAGCCACAGAGAGCAGGAGGCAGTCTAGGGTTTCCTCTGCAATGGGGGAAGCCAGGCTTTCCACCTGCCTTTGCCGGCCTAGGCCTTCACTCAAGTCTACAAAGTTTCAATAATAGAAGATAAATAAATCCAAACAGAAATTGTGGCAGCCACGGAACTGGAAAGAGCAAGAGGCTAGGGTTTCCCCCAGCGATGGAGGAAGCCAAGCTTCTGAAGCCCTGGCCTGCTTTGGCCTCTGCTCCAGGCTACAAAGTTTCAATTATAAAAGATAAATAAATCCCAACAGAAATGGCTGCTGCCATGGAGCAAGCAGTAGTGTTGGCTCCACTGCAGGCTACAAAGTTTCAGTTGTAGAAGATAAATAAATTCTGGATACCAGGGCCTCTGCTTGGGTCGTCAAGGGGTGGGGGTGGCCAGCCTGCAAATCACCACAGGTCCCTTGCCCAGGCAGCCCTATACTCCAAGGGAATCCTCACCCTGATCTGGGATACTCTTCAGGGCAAACCAGCTGGCCCCCACCCATGCTCCAGGCCTCTATTCTATCTAATAAAAGAATAATATGCAGATTGACTATCACTTCAACACACAAGATGGCTGCCCCCATGTGGACACAAGATGGCCATCACAAGATGGCCAGCAGGGAGTGCAGTTGGGGTTGACCAGGCTGGCAGGGGAGGGAAGATGTGGGAGAACCAGACCTGCAGTGGAGAGCAGTTGGGGGAGAACCAGGCCTGTAGTGGAGGGCAGTTAGGAGGGACCAGGCCTTTAGGGGAGGGCAGATAGGGGCAAACACACTGGCAGGGGAGTAGTTAGGCATCAATCAGGCTGGCATGGGAGTGGTTAGGGAGTGATCAGGCTGGCAGGTAGAAGTGAATAGGGGCAATCAGGAAGGCAGGCAGGCAAGCAGTTGGGAGCCAGCAGTCCTGGATTGTGAGAGGGATGTGCAACTGCCCGTTTAGGCCCGATCCCAGTAGGAGTGTGTGCAGGATCCCAGATTGGAGAGTGTGCAGTCTGGGCTGAGGGACACCCCTCCTCTGTGCATGAATTTCATGCATCTGGCCTCTAGTATTTAAATAAGTATATTTTTAATTTATTTCTCTTTGTGTTTATTTTCAGTTTATATTGAGTAATACATAGAGAAAGGAGAAAAGAATGTTTTTCAAAGTAAAAAAAAAAAAAGTATCAGGTTTCCCTAAGTTCTATTTTATCTGATATCTCTCTCTCTCTCTCTCTCTCTCTCTTTTTCAGGTAACTGTGGAGAATTTTTTACGGGTATTAACTGGGAGGATCCCACCTAGTACTCCTCGGTCAAAACGTCTTCTTTCTGATGATAGGAGCAATATTCTTATTTATATGACAGGTAATTTCAGAATTTAGATATTTAATAATTGAATATATTACTATTTTCAACAAGAAATTTGCATGGAAAGAATTTCAACAACTTAAATGATATTTCAGTTAAAATAGTTGATTTGTTATACATTTCCCTCTGTTATATTTTTCTGATAATATATAACAACTTGAAATAATATTTGATAACAGTGTAACATTTTGTGTTGTCCCTTAGTTTCTTATTGCTGTTCTTTTTACTGTTACTCTGGTAAAGCTTACTATGTTTTACTTAATGTCCTGCTTTAGCCTCCTTGCCTTCAGTTTTGTCTCCTATTAATTGTCCTACTAAAGTATTTAATAGAAATTGCAAATCTATCCTTCCTCTTCTTAAACCTCTGGTTTCCAATGATGGAGTTTCAAATATTAGTGTGTATAAGGATTACCTAAATGCCGATACTTAAGGCCTTTTCCTAAAATCCTGATTTAGTTTTGCTCCAAAGTGTGGCTCATGAAACTGCATTTTTAATATAGTTCTCCAATATGAGCTGCAGTAGTCTTTTGTCTATACTTTGAGTGCTGTTGTAAAGTCCTCCATAATATAGTTATATTATTTATGGAGCTATACTATGTGTAATGTATAATTAATATAATTTAATTAATATTATAACTTATTTACTAGTAATTTTAGTTCTTATACTTTTTCTAATTCCTTTCCAAGTATTGGACTATTTCTGTCCTCATTTTGTTTGCTAACAATTATTGCCTTTGCTTATTGATGTCTTCTCAGTTCACTTTGCCTAACTGATTGTGTCTTATCATTTTAGTCTCAGTGATTTTTCTTTCCAAGTCTAGGGTGACCTACACTAAGTGGCCAGATTATTATTATCTCTGAACGCATAATAATCTGGTCACTCAGTGTATATCCTATATAATAAAAGGCTAATATGCCAATTGTCCCCTCCACCAGGAATTTGACTAGCAGACAGGCTGGCCAACCGCCCATGTGCCCTTCCCCTGGCTGGACCTCACCCATGCACGAATTCATGCACCAGGCCTTTAACACACACACACACACACACACACACACACACACACACTCACTGAGTGGCCAGATTATTATGTGTTCAAAGATCATAATAATCTGGCCACTCAGTGTATGTTTTCAATTGCTTGCAGCAGTTTTAGTTTACATCTGTTGTCCCAATGTAACTTATAGTGCCTCCTTTCTTCCTCAGAAGTATCCTGATACGTCCTGGTATTACCCTAAGACACTTCTCGTGTCCATGGCTGGTGTTGGCTCTTTTCTTTGCACTCCCATTTTATTCTGCAGTTTCTATTTTAGCATTTAAGTTATTATTTTTTGTCTGGATATTTATTGACTTTATGACATTTTTGAACCCCAAGGTGCCAATGATCATGTGTTTTTCATCTTTTTATCTCCAGTGCCCTGTCTTATAGTAGTATTCAGTAAATATGAATGTTGATCAGTTGGTATTTAAACATTTTTTAAAAAAAATATATTTTATTGATTTTTACAGAGAGGAAGGAAGAGGGAGAGAGAGTTAGAAACGTCAATGAGAGAGAATCATCGACCAGTTGCCTCTTGCACACCCCCTACTGAGGATGTGCCCACAACCAATGTGCATGGCCTTGACCGGAATCTAACTTGGGACCTTTCAGTCTGCAGACCGACGCTCTACCACTAAGCCAAACCGGTTTTAGCTAAACAGTTTATTCAGGGAGATTCCATTAAGCTGATGATAAAACAGGTGCAGAATGATTCTTAGATGTTTCAGCAAGACAGTTACTGACCTCTACTTAGCATCTTTCTTTTACTTATCTATAATTCTGCATTTATTTATAGCTTTTAAAATGCAGTCAATTTATAAATTAACTCAGAAGAGTTAATGAAGTAGGAAAATTTTTATTTTAGTTTATTTAAGTTACCAGAAATTTTAAAGCTTTTGTGCAAATGGGACAAAGTATAGTCTTGTAGCTTAGCTTTATTTGATGTACCAAACTAGAGGTTTTACAACAATTTTTTTTTTGAATTGATGGATATGGAAGAAATTCCAGTAATCTAAAATAGGATTTTGTGAACGATGGTCCGTGAAAGGACTCCCTGTTTGGAAATCAGGTTTTAGTGGAACACAGTCGCAGCCATTTGTTTTACATGTTGTCTCTGACTGCTTTTACACTATAACAGCAGAGTCCTGAAGTTGCAACAGAGACCTTATGGCCCACAAGCCTGTAACACTTACTTCCTGACCCTTTACAGAAGGAGATTGCAGAAGATAGGAGGGTTGCTAATTATAATATGGTAATAAAAATGATAATAACTGGTATTTACTGAGGCTTACTATACCTAGGTAGTATTCTAAACCCCTGTGTGTAGTTCATTTCATCCTCACAGCAACCAAAGGTGTTGTTATATAGAATTGATACAGGGTTGTGTGGGTTGTACACTGCACTTAAGTGTTTGGGTAGGGAGGTGAGTGGCAGCTAAAATTCAGTATATGTTTACATTTACTAAGCTGTGTGCCCTGCTATAGAGGTGTCTAAATGGGAGGGAGAAGTATTTTCCCCCCACAAAAGCATACCCATTACCACTTCCGAGCTCACAGGACTGCATATATTAAGAGGGGCAGTAAGTAGAAAACTTTTTCTATTTTGCTGCCCAGTGGGAGGTGCCTTTATAAAATCTGTACAAAGCATGTTAATGAAGGTCTTCCTGACACATTTCTCACTTTATAGCTGAAGAAACTGAGGCATAGAAAGATTAAGTAAATTGTTGAAGATAACACAGTCATTAAGTGAATAAGCAATTGTTAGAATCCAGACAGATTGAGTCTTTAATTCATTCTAAATATCAGAATCTTCTGGTCAACTCTCCAGGGATAGTATTTGATACTTATAAAAACATCACTTTTTAAATGATAAGTATATTTTCTAGTAGTAAAGTATGCCAGGTATACACTGTGAATAGTACTGGCATAGATGAGACTGAGTAGTATCTTCTACTTCTTTCTCACCACACGTGTTTGCTCACTGTGTGAGAAATTTTTCCTATGGGAACTCATTTTTGACCTAATAATGGAGCCAATGAGAAAATATAAATGTGCTTTTTTATAATTGAATGATAGAAAAACTCTTAAAACATTCTATCTACTATTTTTATGTCTATCCTTATTCTCTTTCTAATTGGTATAAAATTAATTTTCACAGTGTTTTTTCTTTAAAGTATATAATAACAAATGATATTAAACATTGCCATAAAAGAAGTGAATATTTATATCTGAATATATGTAGTTTGCATTAAAAATGTGTACATTTGATCTTTTTGACTCTCTCTATAGGGCATGGTGGAAATGGTTTCTTGAAATTTCAAGATTCTGAAGAAATTACCAACATAGAACTTGCCGATGCTTTTGAACAAATGTGGCAGAAAAGACGGTAATTAGCAAATAATTATTTTTCACAAGATAAATTGGTACCTAATTTTTCCCTGATTAGATCCTACTTTATGAGATTTTTAATTTATTTGAATAATTTCTTTTAGATTTATGTTTGTTATTTCTATAGAATGGAGTTACTTTTAGAAGAAAAAATTTAGAGTTATTAAAGAACATGGAAAAAAGTTAACCTTTTAAGGTCATATCTCTTATTATTTAACAATCTTTTTGGAGGAGATAAGAGTCCCACTAACAATGTTTCTCATTGTTTAGGGGGAAGATGAACATTATATTTATTTTTCAACTTGTATCTATTCTTACTTTTTGCACATTCTCTGGCCCTCTGTGTGATAACAATATATTATTATTTGGAAAAAATTTTGAAGTTACCATTAGCATAAAATTTGTAACTTGACTCACATTACAGTGATGTATTGTTAATCTAATGCTAAGCATCCTTTAGTTGAAAGTTGTTATATGAACTTGTTGAGTGAATTTAAAATAAAATAGTGTGGAGGCAGGACCGGACAGAGTGGGCAAAGGGAGGAAAATGGGGACATCTGTAATAGTGTCAATAAAAATAGAGCCATAGCACTGCTTTTACTTTGTTTACCTTCAATAAACACTTCTGGGTACCTTTTAAACATATGGCACAGAAGGGAATGTGATGCTTATTTTGTCTTGAATGTGTTAAAAGTATAGTAGAAGAGAATGTACATAACTATGCTACAAATTAAATATTATAAATATTGAATTATAAGAATAAGCAGAATATATGAAAGTATTGAGGAGGAAGATTTTGCTAGCTACTGGTTTTATCTTATTCATAGTTTAGATTTATTGAATGCATAGTAGGTGCTGGGCATTGTGTTTTACATGCATTCTGATTAAGTTTTTATAACAGCTCCACGAAGTAGCTACTTTTATTATTCCTGCTTTTTATAAATGATAAAATTCAGCTAAACAGATTAAGTAACTTGCCAAGCTTCACACAACTAGAAAGTGTCAGCACTCGGACCCATGCCCAGGTGGTGCAATACTGTAACCTTAGAAGTTTCTGATCTTCAGGGGCCTCCACTGAGTTTGTCTCAGAAGAAGTGTTATGTTAATTGTACCTTCTATCACCTGTTTAGATGTTGAGGTTCAAGATTACATACTTTCGCCTGGCCAGATCAATGACTGATGGTTGACCGTCAGCTTATGAACCAAGAGGTCATGGTTTGATTCCTGGTCAGGGCACATGCCTGGTTGTGGGCTAGATCCCCAGTATAGGGTGTGCAGAAAGCAGCTTCTCAGTGATTTTCTGTCATCATTGATGTTTCTATCTCTCTCTCCCGCTCACTTCCTTTCTGAAATCAATAAAAAATATTAAAAAAGAAAGATTACATACTTACTTTCTAGGTGCAATAATAGCTATTTGCCTAGATTCAGTGTTTGTGATAAACCTTTGAGAAAACTTATCTGCTCCCTACTTTCACTTTCACCAGTGAGGCAGCTCATTCTAAAATATATAGCTTATTATGTTTATTCTTTCACTTAAAAAAGCCTTTTGTGTTTTCTTCAAATTTATAGGATAAGACCCAGACTTTATATTGGATACTTTATTTACAGATTGGCCTAACCTATCTTTTTGAAATGAATTTCCCCAAATTACTTTTAAATCTTAGCTATATAGTATTGTTCTCCCCTTCCCCCCAAAATTTATACTTATTCACATGTATGTGCCTTAGCACAAGTGTTTTTCTTTGCTGGAATGGGTTTTTCCTTCCTTTGTTGGATACAATAACACTCACTCTTCACTGTCCATGTCAGACATCACCTTTTCCTGACCTGCCTTTCTTTACAGTTCTCTCTGTTCCTTTCTCAGTGTTCTTACAGCACTTTGACTTTGTTCAGCAATATGAGGGCTGAGACTTGTATTTCCAGCTTAGTGTCAGGCATATGGTAGGCTCTCAATAAATATTTGTAATACTTATCATACATTTAGTTTATCATCTGTCTTGCAGTTAGATTTTTAAGCTCTTTGAGTATTGAGACTGAGTCGTGTGTGTGTGTGTGTGTGTGTGTGTGTGTGTGTGTGTGTGTGTTTGTATTTTTTTTTAATTTTAATTTTTTTTCTAAATGTAGGCCAGTTTCTAGGGCAGCATCAGTACCAAATATGTGTTTGTTGAATTCAATATTGAGTATTCATTTGGATTCTGAATTATGTGGTGCAGATAAGGAAAGAAGAAAGAGTTGGGACATAACCACTCCCTATTGAGGTGCTTTTTCTGGACAGGATTATACTTTTAATATTTCTAATACCAATTTTGTATTGGGAATTCTACTGAAAAGTTTCAATTTTTAATTAATGAAATGACCAAGATATAACTTAAACATGTTATGCTATGGAAATATTGTAAAAGTATTAGTCAATGCATGATTCATGTCAAAGATATTACTACTTTTCTTTCAGATACAATGAACTACTGTTTATTATTGATACTTGTCAAGGAGCATCCATGTATGAGCGATTTTATTCTCCTAACATAATGGCTTTAGCTAGTAGCCAAGTGGGGGAAGATTCACTTTCGGTAGGTGATTTTTACCATTTGTAAACTGCATTGTCTTTAGAATGTGTAGCTATTTCTCAAATTACTTACATGCTTAATGAGTATATCTGCTACTTCTTATTCTTAGACTTTTTCTAATACCTTAGAAGGAAACTTCGATTACATTTAAAACATTGGTTATTATTATGCTATTAGACATAAATTTTTTTGCTTTTCTTTTAAAGTCTTTTTTTTATTGAGGTATTATTGACCTTGGTTTTATGTTTATAACATGATTTGATATTCTATATAATAAAAGCCTAATATGCTAAGTGTCCGGTTGTCTGGTCGTCCATCCAACCAATCAAAGTGTAATATACTAATGATATGCTAAGGCTGCTTAACCGCTTGCTATGACATGCACTGATTACTAGGGGGCAGACAGTCGACAAGTTGACCAATCACTATGAAGTTTACTGACTACTACTCTCCCACTGGTAGGTTAGCTTGTTGCTGGGGTCTGGCCTATTGGGACTGAGCGAGAGGGGCCGGACATGCCCTGGACCCCTCCTATGGCCCCTTCCTGACTCGCCAACCTCCTGCATTCCTCCATGGCCCTGATTGTGCACTGGTGGAGTCCCTTGGCCTGGACGGTGCCCTCTTGCAATTTGGAAACCTTGGGGGATGTTGGAAAGCCAGTTTCAGCCTGATCTCGTAGGCCAGGCCAAGGGACTGCACCAGCCTCTAGTTTATATATATTGTAAAATGATCACCACAATAAGTGTAAATAACATCTGTCATCATACACAGTTATATAATTTTTCTTCATGTAATGGGAACTTTAAGATCTACTCTTTTAGCAACATTAAATTTATATACAGAATTATTAATGGAAGTTACCATGATATAAATTACACACCAGTGACTTATTTATTTTGTAACTGGAATTTTGTACTTTTTGACTCCCTTGAGCCATTTGGCTCATCACATATCCCTATGCCTCCGGCAACCACCAGTCTGTTCTCTGTATCTATGAGCTTGTTTTATTTTTATTCCATATTATTTTATTCTTGTTTATGGCTGAGTAATATGCCCTTGTATATGCTTTGCTTTTTTGTAGCATCAACCTGATCCGGCAATTGGAGTTCACCTTATGGATAGATACACATTTTATGTCTTAGAATTTTTGGAAGAAATTAATCCAGCTAGCCAAACTAATATGAATGACCTTGTAAGTATTTGCTTGATTTGATTATAGCACATAGGTATGCCAATCTTAACGTGATCAGTGAAGTCTGTTATTATTCCCTGTACAAATAGGATACTGAAGGCGGCCTTGTAAAACCTCACCTTGAATCTCCCTTTTCAGTAGTATCTGTTTCTTTACTACCTATAGATATAGCCTAGTTAACTTGCTCTTCCATGAGGTATTTTTCTGTTTTCATTCATTTGCTCTGCTCTTTTCTTTACCAGAAATGTACTTTTTTATATTCACATATTGAAATTCTGCGCATTTATCAGAAGTCAAATCAGATCCTTCTTCCTTCAGGAAGTCTTCCCAAATGCTTCCTTGTTGGAATTTGCATAAAATAAATAAAGCTTTTAGACCTTTATTTCTCTTTTATATCATTTACCATAGTCTATTTTTTTTTTAACTTACTAATTGAGTGTGAGTGTCTTTCTCACTTAATGGGAAGTTCTTGGAGTAGAGGGACCTTTTCTTACATATTTTTGGGCACCCTACAACTTCTAATACAAGGTACTGACATGGCTTGTTGAAGTTAGCTCACTTTTCCACTGATTTTTCTGTACTGGTTGTATCTTTTTAAATGAATCTACTTTGAGGTTGCTATTGAAAATAGGCATAATTGCCCTAGCTGGTTTGGCTCAGTGGATAAAGCATTGGCCTGCAGACTGAAAGGTCCCAGGTTCAATTCTCGTCAAGGGCACATGCTAAGTTGCGGGCAGCGAGCTACTCAAGCACGGATCCTTGCGCAGGGCCACTAGTGTCTTTATAACTTTCTTAGAATGTCAAGCACCACTATAACAATGAAATGTATTTTCTTTAGGTTGGGAGAGCTTTAAAAACAATGCAGTCTACTATATTGGGTTATGGTTTAATAACAGTTGTATGTGTATTTATATTCTTACATATATTTTTTCAGTTTCAGGTATGTCCGAAAAGTCTATGTGTGTCTACTCCTGGACATCGCACCGATCTTTTTCAGAGGGATCCTAAAAATGTCCTGATAACCGATTTCTTTGGAAGTGTTCGGAAAGTGGAAATTACAACAGAGACTATTAGTTTGCAACCAGATTTAGGAGTCCTGGAAAGCAGGTATTCATCTTAAATTATTATTCAAATAGAATATTCTAGTTTCACAATTTTTAATTTTTATGTAACAAGAGTAAGCAATGAAAGTTGGTGTTTGTAGATAAAATTATACATTTCTACCCAATCTTCATTTTATGTAGGCCCTATGCGTTTCAGATTTATGGGCAAAAGCTACACATATCAGTGAGAAGCTATGATCATGATTAGGATTATCTCATAACTCCAAAATAATCATGTTTGTAGTAAGATGATTGAGATTGGTAAAAAAAAAACAAAGAAAAAAAAGAAAAGACTAAATTGTTTCCCATAACTGGCTGTCTCGCAGCCATACTTTTCTGTTGTTGGAGGTATATATAATGGCTCAGAAGACCTTCATGAAAGGTCAGGTATGTGAACATTTCAAAAGATTAATCTCTAATGAGTGTGTTTGCTGTCACCAATGGAAGTGAAAGGTATTAAGTTGATGTAACATTGAATAGGGAAGTTGGCAGCTGGGCAATTAGTAATACAGGCCCTAGGAATCTGGCAGATGAAAGGCAGATAAACATAAAAAAGGGAAGTGAGTGCCAAAAGAATACAGGTGCCAAGTACATATTTCAAACCATAACACAATGCTTGTTGTTCAGAATTTCTGCCGGCTCCAGCAATCTGATTAGTTCTCTGACTACCATGTCTTTTGGCTTCTAGAGCCTGAGTGGTTTGTGAGCCTGGTTCAGTTATATCTCTGGCTTTTCCCTAGTGCTGTATTCTCTTAGTCTGGAACATTTTATCTGGGGCTATTGTAAATTTGAATGACCCTCCATCAACAGGTGTTCAGGATTTGTTTTGGAGGCTTTTGGTAAAGGAATGGAAGAGAGAGGTATAAGATAGGTATTTCCCTCTTGGGGAGTGGATTGTGTTTGAGTGAGCAGTGAGTGTGCATTCATATGTGTGTGTGTGTGTGTGTGTGTGTGTGTGTGTGTGTGTGTATGAGAGAGAGAGAGAGAGAGAGAGAGAGAGAGGGGAAGTTAGTTGTTTTGGGTATGTGAATTTTAGATATATTTATGATGTTGTATTTTTTTCTCTGTAAACATTTTTAAAGGCAAAATACTATTATAAATGTCCACTTTCTTGAAATATATACTTTACTAGGTATTGATCTTAGTTATTTGTAGTTGTCTAATGCTGGTTGTTGGAAACTCATACTCTAGGGAACTTTTTTGGACGTCAGTAGGCAACAACATATACATTACTTTCAATTCTGAAACATTTAAAGATTTTTAATTGAACTTATGAATATTTTAGGAATAAATTGAAAAATTAGCACAAAATTGGCATCTTATGAAAATTTAAAATTCATATTATTATTAATTATTTTCTATTTTGGATATTCAAGACCTTAGATTTTTTTCTTTTCAATTTTTTTAGAGCTGTTAGCTTAAAAAGTATTTTCTTAAGACAGTAGATTATATCCTATAGCGATATCACTTTTACTTGCTGTTTAATACTGACTTTCAAATTACTTTTGTAAAATAGTTGAACTGTATCTTAATATTTAGCAACTAACCTTGAAATTGAGTTACTAGATGTCTTTATCAAATTCATTTTGTCATTTCCCTTGAACTTAAATCTAGAAGATATGATATATCTTCTCTTAACCATATGAACACTGCATTAATTTTCTTTATAGTCAAGGACCATCTTTGTATTCCTTTTGTACTTATTTTCTGTCCTCTTCACCTTACAAAATATTAAATATGTAATAATTGTACAATAAAAATGATTTCAATGAATTCTACTGATTCATTATGTATTAAGGAAGAATGGAATTTTATCTCATAAATTATCCCCATGTACTGTGTGGGATGCAAAAATAGTTGATGCTGAAGAGTATCTTAATTTATCTTTAATTGAGAAAATCATTTTAAACATTAAAGCCAGACACCATGCACCATTGAATTAGAGCACCCTCTAGTGTTTATAAGAATTTTTTATTTATTAATAGAATATTGCTTACAGATGGTGTCATGATCACTGGTATAGACTATCCAATTAATTTAGAAAAATGAAGTTCCCAAAATGCTTCAGGAATTTCTACATGAATGTGACAAATATTATCTTGTATATGGTTATATTTATATGCAAAAGTGAATGACAGTGCTTTGAGAAAAGTATACTCATGAGAGATCAGATATTGTGAAAACTATTTTATTAAGGAAATTATGGGCTAGAATGTGTATGTATTTTTTTCCAGATCTTAATTTATAAATATTAATACTGTAGCTGCTATTAAAATTGTCAGTTATACTTTAAAAATGTTACTTTCTGCATTTATTAGGAAACAACAGAACTAATTTGTTCAGACTTGGACTGTCTATATTTCATATTTTGTGTACTAGAGTACACTATACTAAAGCCTAATATGATAAATAATTTAGTACATAAAATTTACAAAAATGGCTATATGAAATAATTGTTTTTATATGTCTTCTGAAACTTAGATATTAAGTAAGGTATAGTCATATAGTTTGTATCAGCATTTATTTTGCATATGTCTTACTAGTTGTGTTATTAATTTATTTGCAAGAATAAATGAGGTAAAGTATGCACTGATTGTAATAATACTGGCTTATATAATTTGATTCTAAGTTCTTCATCTGAATATGCATAGATTGACTCTTGACAAGTATGCAGACAAATAAGCAGTCTACCCTCTTGAAAGATTTGGCTTTCTAGAATTTAGTCATAAGTCCATGTCAGAATTACTCAGATTACCATTTTTGTGTCCTTACTATACTGGGAAAATAATCTCCAGTCTATCGCTATAAAAAATATAGGCACACTTTAGTGTTACAAAATGTGGAAGTCTAAATTCTTTAGCATTGCCCAAAAATAAAACATTACATTTTTTCTAGATGAGTAAACTGAGGCTGAGAAAGGTTAAGATACCATCTAATAAATGTTATAGCCAAGATACTAATGCCTTTTATCTCTAAAAATATATATATTTTATATTATTCTTTTATAATTTGCCCTGAAGTTACTTAGCTTGTTTTCTTCAAAAAGAAAGTAAAATATAAATGTAGCTCAACGAAGTATCACAAAGTAATAACTCAAGTAACCACTTGAAAAAAAGTAGAACAATGATGAAGCTTCCCTATTCCTTTTGCCCTTTCCCCATCTCATCTCTATCCTCTTAACTCCCCCAAAGTTAGTCACTATCCTAACTTTTATGGAATTCACTATCCTGCTCTACATTTTAGTTATATCATCTACACATTATATTTCAATTCTTTTGCCGATATTATGTTTTTGGAATTCACTTATGTTGTTGTGTGCCACTGTAGTTTGTTCAGTTTTTAAACATTGAAGTATAATTTATGTACAAAAATCACCTTTTTTAGTATACAGTTCTGAGTTTTGACAAATGCTTACACTTAATCACCATGACAATCCATCACCTTAAGAAATTTCCTTATGACTATTTTTATTCAATCCTCCCACTATATCCCTGGAAACCATTGGTGTTTTCTGTCCCCATGGTTTTGCTAAAAATTGCTGATAGTAAATTGATATGATTATGAAACTTTATGAACCAAAGATTCGCCAAAATGGCTCAGACAGTAGTCAATAGGATTTCTCCCCTACTATTGTACATACCACTTTATTTTTCAAAGTGAGAAATTTACTCATAAGTTTAATTCTGATTACTTAAAGTGTCTTATTGGGCCATTTATTTTATATTGTTATTTATAAAGGTAGACACTTCAGTTAGTCAGTTATTCAAGATTTCATTAAAGTAGACTTTCAGAGCATAAATTAGGTTGTGATTTTCTCTCTATATATATATAAAAGCCTAAGTGACTGAATGACCAGTTGACCAGTCACTGTGATGCACACTGACCACCAGGAGGCAGACACTCAATGCAGGAGCTGCTCCCTGGTGGTTAGTGAGCTCCCACAGTAGGAGCGCTGCGACGGGCGCTAGATACAGGGCTCATGGCTGGTGAGTGCCACTGCAGCAGTGTGAGCCTTTCTCAGGACTGACTGGGCACAAGCCTGCAGCAGGCGCAGCGGTGCCGAGATGAGCAGAAGTGGCAGGCAGCGTTGGACTGCTGGTTTCAGCCCAATCCCCACAGGCCACGCTGAGGGACCCCACTCGTGTAAAAATTTGTGCACTGGGCCTCTAGTTTGATTTATAAAAAACTAAAACATAATTATATTATCCATTTTCTCATTTTACATACACATAAAGTTCTTATTATTATAATTTCAAAATTATGTGTTAGTCATTTAATGGGAAGATTTTTTTAAAAGCAATTTATTTCACTGTCTACAATTAACAAAAACATCCATTTAGTTGGTTTATGACTTTTAAGAATAAGTGTATGTAAACAGTATAGAAGAACATAGTACTATGCCCCTTTGAATAAGTAAATTAGTAAATTTCTCTTAATGTAAATTAGTAAATATGTTTACTAGGGATAGTAATTTCCAATGAGTGTTTATTAATATTTAATCTGAATCAAAGCAAAGTTAATTTTAATTTAAACACTAAACATATAGAACTTGAAATTTTTGAATTATGAAAAATCTCAAAATGACATAGTATTCTAATATATAAAAAGCCAGGGGCGATCACGAACTAAACAACTGGATAGATGACCGAACAGCAGGCTCTATTGATTAGGGGATGGCTAATAGGAGAACTTGGGTCCCTCAGGCTCCAATGAATCTGTGGCAGTGGCGGCTAGTGAGTGGGCGGAAGGCAGATCGTTTGGTCCCTGCCCTGGCCCGCAGGTTCCCATGATCAGGGGATGGCTAACAGGGGAACTGGGGTTCCTCAAGCGCTGATGAATCCTTGGCAGCAGCAGCTGTTGAATGGGCAAAAGGCAGACTGCTTGGTCCCTCCTCCCGGCCCTCAGAATACAATCAATCGGTGGAGGAGGCGGGGCGGAACTGGACTGGCTCCCTTAGTAGTCCTGCAAGTTCAATTTCCAGAGGACAGACCAGGCACCAATGGA